CGCCTTTTCCGCAGCTGCTTCTTGAGACTAAGTTATTTCTGCAGCACTCTTCATCTTAAAAGGCAGTCGAATTTGACCAAAAATGGAGGAAATTATCATTTGAAGGAGTCTACTTGCAGAAAGTGTCGCACAATCGGAAAGCCCGACAAATAAATATACAGAAGTGGATGCACAGCCAGTAGATAGCACTGAGACGATCAGTCGGGTGTTAACGGGTGGCGATACATGTTTTGCTGGTTGACCACGAGCCGGACTTCGGCGCGGTCGAAATCATGGACCTAAGTGAGGCCGGCGAAGCAATGCAAATCAACCAACCGCCGAACTGGATCGTTTTCGACGGATGTTATTCAATCATGATCTAGCTTTCGGCCAATCACCAGCGTTCCGGATGCGGTGCGTCCATTTGAGCCGCTGGGTGTTGTCGCCGAGTACAAGGCCACGGAGTCACGGTGGATGTCTCACCCGGAACCCAAGTAAAACTTGCTCAGCCGCCCTTGCAGTTGGTAGTTAACACACCAGACGCGATCAACTGGACGCTGTCATGCACATAAACTTACACTTATAAACAAACTGAGTTGGAGCGTCATACTTTTAATCCAAAAATGCAAATTCCAAATAGGCACGTCCTGATGATTTCTTCCTCCTTTTCGTCGAAGTTACCTGGGAATCGTGTTCGCCAACTTCCAGACGAGTGATTGGTCGACAAATACGGTTTTTTGTATTTCAGGAACAAGTACTTAGTTACGTAAATATTATTTTATATTCCACTCGCCACTTCTAAAAACTTATCAGGTCGAACACGTTAATTTGACCAAAATGAGGGGATTCGCCTTCATTTCTAACCAGCAGAAGTTTTTGTCAAATATTCTCCTAATACTGTTTACGGTTCAAAGGCCGGCATGGATTAACCTCTCTTGACTGTCAAGCTCGATAATTAGTTCGGGTCTACAGGTTTATTCAACCTCACGCGAATTATCTTTGTATGTTAGTCGTCATTATGCGCTGTGAATAACTGAAGAACTTAATTCGATGCGTTCAGAGAAAACAACCGGGCTCCCAGGCTGAAGTATAAAACGCCCGAAATGCATGAAACGGGGAAATGGAAGTTTACTTTCAAGAACCTGGTCATTTGATTCGCTGTCATCGGGAGCGCTAGACACATGCGCGCTCTCCACACGTTTAAGTACTCTGACCATGAGAGGAGAGGCATAAATGGGTTTTACAAATTTCCAGTTATGAGATTTTGTGATACCGTGAAATGGCCGTTCATAAAACATCGCGTCTCAGTATTTACTAATGTTGCTTGTAAAGTTTACTATATGGCTCAAATTCACTGCTAAATTTTATGAACCTTGTATCGCCTCCTCTTAATACCGTAGAGAAATGTATGGTTTTCCGTACGCGGAAAATATGCGGCTCGTAGTTCGAAAACCCTGAATATAGTTTTAACGGCTAGTCGAGTACAAACATATTCCGAAACTAAAAAAGTTTCTTTAAAATCAAATTATACCATTCCTTTGAGTAGAAAATTGAAAGAAAACGTGATAATTCCACCGAATGAATAAAAGAATGAATATTTTTATGCATGTTTTCCATGAAATATAATTTAACTTTTAAGGGCATCGAAAATCAATGAGAATAATTCGTGCTACTTAAGCAGTCATTTTTATAGTGTTGTTTTCGCATGCGGCCGATAAGAGGTTCTTTCGAAAGCCGGCATTTCGAGGTAACTGAAGTATTATATAACTGTGCTGTATGACTATTAATTTCAAAGTCCTACTTAAGTAATCTTTTCGAAACGAAAACGAATTTCAGAATTTCGGTCAACATTTCATGAGTTAGCACACCTAATGTAAGTCGTCATTATACGGTGTGAATAGACGACGAAGTTAATTCGCTGTGTGCAAAAGAAATATCCAGGTTCCGAGGTTGAAGCACAAAAACGCCTAAGATATATGAAACGGGAAAACTGCAGTTCACTTTCAAAAACCTGGTCATTTGACTTGTTGTCACCGGAGCGCTGGTCACGCGTGCGCTCCCCACGTGCTTGATCACTCTGACCAGGCACAGTCCAAATGCATAATATCGAAGCGCGAGGTCATTGCAGTTGCCAGTTAACTAAGGGTTGGTAAACCGTAACTAAGGCGGATGGCAGCTCACGCCATCGTCACCTCTTGCTAAAATTTCGGCATCGTCAAACTTGATGGCGTGACGAGATTCCGTCGAATCAGCTGCGACCTGGTAGCTAGGGTCGATCTTCCTCACCGCTGCTGAATGTAGGCTCACTCGCGTCCAGAGTAATCTCCCAGTTTATCCGTTGTAGGTGCTTTGTCCGCAACTGCTCCAGATCCGGCAAACGACTCCATATTTTTCTTGCAGGGACGCATATTCTTTCGGTCTCGTGGTCTGGCGCCTTATGGTTGCCTCATGCTAGAGTTTAACCCCAAATCTAAGTGGCGTGAGAAGGCGGCTGACGACTTCCGAGGCGTTCTCCGCGTACGGCAGCACTCGCCAGAATTTGGGGCCGGTCGTAGTTGACCTCTCATCCGGTTTGCATATGCACATGTTGATAAACGCAGCTGCGTAAGTGTACCGTATCGGCATGTTGAGCCTAATTGGGATGAACCGAAAGACATGGTGACATACAAGACGGGTGCAATCCCGTCAACCGGTGCGTGCGTAAACGAGACGAGAGACGCAACTCAGCCGGCCTCAGATGTTGCCAATAAACGCATGTCACGAGCCAGTGTAACTTACAGTATGTGGGCTAACTCATGAAATACCAACCGGAATTTCGAAATGCCTTCTCGATTCGAAAAGATTAATTAAGTTAGGTTGTAAAACTAATCAGCATACAACATAATTCTATAATGATTTAGTTACCACAGGGTGTCTTCTTTCGAATGAACTTATTTCCGACTGCATGCAAGAATTATACCCTGCAAAAAATGACTGCTTAAGTAGCATAAAATTTTCCGATTGATTTTCCATGCCCTTGAATATTCGATTATGTTTCATCAAAAACATGCAATAAGGATATTTAATCTTTTATTTGTTTGGTAGAAAATAACGTCTTCTTTCAATTTTATACACGAAGGAGGAGTATAATTTGGTTTCAAAAAAAAGTTTCTAAATGTGGGATTTTTTAATATCGTGAAATGGCCGTTCATAAAATGTCATGTATCTGCATTTACCGATGTGGCTTGTAAAGTTAACAATATTGCCTAAATCCACTGCTTAATTTTATGGACTCCAGATGGTCTTCTCTTAATACCGTAGAGAAATGCATGGTTTTCCATACACGGAGAAGATACAGCCTGTAGTTTTCGAACCTTGAATGCAAGTGTAACAGCAGGTCTGGTTGAAAATTATTTGGAAATTAGAACAGTTTTTTAAAACCGAATTATATTTCTCTTTCGAGTATAAAATCGGAAGCGGACGTGTTCTTCTGCCGAATAAGTAAAAGAATGAATATTTTATGCATGTTTTCCATGAAATATAATTGAAATCTTAAGGGCATCGAAAATCAATGAGAAAATTGCATGCCACGTAAGTGGTCATTTTTTACAGAGTATAGTTCTTGCATGCAGTCGGAAATACGTTCATTTGAAAGAACGCACCCTGAGGAAATTGGTTCATTATAGAATTATGCTGCAGATTAGTTTTACAACCATGCTTAATTAATCTTTTCGAAACGAGAACGCATTTCGAAATTTCCGTCGCCATTTCATGAGTTAGTCCACCTACTGTACGTCTTAATCCAGGGCAAGTGCATCACAGCGCCGTGTGAGGAGAGATGCGGAACGTGCACCAAACATAAGAGTTGAACGGCCTGTTTGCAGTCACTCTTGTAACCTTGATCAAATAAAGACCACATTCTCAACTCGAGCTTGCCCATTTTCCTATTTGATGACATCAAATGGCCTCAAAAACTGGTGTCACGTATTTAAAACTCGGTATCCTCGTCTTTATCTTTCTGATCTGAGGTATGAACTTCCTGGCAAACAACTGCTTCTATCCTTGAGACAGTCTGATTCGTTTACCGGCATTCTGGTCACGCGAACCAAAATAACTTTCCATGTCAACTTTATTAACCAGAAGAAGATGAATGATCTAGTATAATGTGTGCTGGAATTGCATTACTTATGTTATGGCAGACATTTCATCAAAATTCAGGGAGTTTATAATTCACC